GGGGGGGGGGGGGGGGGGGGGGGGGGGGGGGGGGGGGGGGGGGGAGAGAGAGAGAGAAAGGATGGACTGTAATGAAAGCAGGGGCTATGAATCATCCTATGGTCATTCAATATTTTTATCTCGTTCTGGTTGAAATCTTTTGTACAGCAAGATAAAAAAATGATAGTACTAGTAATAGATTAAGGTATGTAGGAGTATCTGAATTATTGATTTATTGAATCAATCTACAGATACATGGGTCAATAAAATAGACATTTCCAATATTTCCCTCCCACATTTTCAGATTAAATTATGTACTAGTATAACGGATGTGATTTATAATAAACATATGTTAGAATGTAAAGAAGTAGGCATGAGCTTAAGCAGATATGTTTGCACTGGAGGCAAATAAATAAATAAATAAATAAATAAATAAATAAATAAATAAATAAATAAATACTGATTGAATAAAGAAAAAAATCAGCATATTTCCTGTTTCTGACAAGCAATTGAAGTGTTAGAGCAACAAGGTATGGATTGGGTGGGCATGCCTGTGCTCCCCTCCCCGTCCCCATGTTTTCCCCGCCATCTCTCCTGCGTCCCCCCCTTTTCCCCCTGAGGTAATTAGTGTCTGTACCATCTACCTTCATCTGCCCACTTCAGGTGTGACACTACAAAGGGTCTTATGACAGTATTATATATATATATATATTATCTTCATCAATCAATAACTTACACAAGTTGATGATACACCATGGTAGTCTGGACATGAAATAGATTTCCCCTCTTTGATGTTTTAACCATAGCATTCAGTTACACATGATATATACACCTCTGTCCCGATAACCCTATCCAGTAAACATGGCACCCTTGATTTTATACCAGTCTGAAGAACTAGCTGTCAATAACTTTACTGAAATGTGATTTTGTCAGGGACACAGGCAATGAAATTGAAATGAAGTTTACAAATCATATCTGCTGCCGTCATATCTAGGTTAAGTGACTTTATCGTACACAATCTGGTATTCATGGTTAGCGCTAGCTTTTCAACTGATTTCAGACCCCAAGTGAAAAAAAGATGGGGTAATTGCTGAAGTCTTTTTTACATAGGAGATAGGTAGGTCCTTCTCACTCAGTGTGACCCTTTTCCCTAGACCATCTGATTGAAAAACTGACCGCTGCCTTTTAGTGTTGTAGTATATGAAAATGAATCACATGAACTTAAACAGTTTATAGACATAACAGTGAGATGTGAGAAATAGTATGATAAGAAATTCAATCAGTTTGAATGTATTTGGTGTTATTTAGCAGTAATAACAGTGTGATAAATCAGGCTGGATTCAGACCCTGTAGGCGTGATGAGTGTCGTGAATCATGAGGTAACGAGGCAGTTATCTGGAGATGTATCAGTGAGATGTGGTGAAGATGGATAATATAGTCAGAGTTGGCCTGGAGATAGGATCTAATACCCAGGGATGCAAAACACACTACTTGGATATTTATGGATGTGATTAAGTGGTTAAGATGCTAGGGTCATGGAC